GCGTTTCGCTGTTCTTTTTCTGCCAACCTGTCCGACCCGTTCCTGGCCGAGCAACGTGACCGGCGTCCCGCGGCTGTCCAGCGAGAGGAGTTCCGGCGGCGGCGCGAGGAACGCCTGGCGCAGCTTGAGGCGGAGCGCGCGGAGAAGAGCACGAGCCGCGGCAAGGCAGGGGCACGGCGGGGTTTCGGGAAGGGCGCGGTGTTGGCGGGGTTTTTCGCTGGTGGTTTTCGGGTGTGGAGGAGTGTCTATACATACCTAGAAGATCCTTTGGGCAGAAACTCTTGCCTTTTCCGGGAAGAGCGGCTCTTCCCGTCCTGGGGCGGAAATCAGCTGTTTGCCGCGGAAATGTGTTTGTTGCCGCGAATATTCCCTTTCAGGAATCCACTGAGACAAAGACTACATATTCTAGAGGAGTTGAATATTCTTGTGGTTTACATTGGGCATTTCTGCCTGGAAAGGTCACCGCAATGAGAAAAAAACATGAAAAAACAATTTGAGCGCTTAAGTTTCCACCTCTACCTGCAAGTCTGGCTACCATCATATCATATACGTGTCTTTGTTTTTGAAGGTTTCTTGTGCGGAATGAGCACAAAAGGACTAAAATCAGTCCAAAGTTGAAAACACCTGGCGCAAAAATGCACGGGAAAAAGGCAGAAATACCCGGGAAAGAGGCGGACATACGCGGGAAAACAGCGGAAATTTCCTGGTAGAAGGCGGGATTTAAGAACAGTGCCTTTGATGCCTTTGAAGGGCTTGAACATATGTCGCAGCCCCTTTGTGAATGTCATGAATTTTGAAGTGTCAAAATCGTGGGGTGTCAGATCTTGAGATGTGAAGCTATGTCCTTGCAGAACGATATGTGGTCTGCAATCATGGAAGAGACAACCTAGTTGGTCTTAGGCAGTGGCAATGGTTTTTGAGTTGCTATGTTGGATTTTGCTTGAGGCAAAAATTCCCTGCTGGCCGCGGAAATTCTTACCTGGCGCGGGCTTCCCCTAAATCCGCGAATCCTCCCGGCAGATCGGACTGAGGCAGAAATGTCTGCCCCAGGTGCTTCTAGGTATAGCCTGAGGAAGGGTTGGAGGATCTTGGACTTCAATCGGAAGAGGTGCAGCTTTGGCCCATTTGAGTCTGTAAAGTGGGTGTCCCACTTCACCTACACCTGTAGTGAACATGGACCATCCCAACCCCTGGCAGTTTCAGGTTGGAACTGTTTATCCAGATCTGCCCGGACTGCAAAATAGGAGTGCTGTCAGATTTGGTCGAAGTGAATGGATCTTGCCAGGATCTGACCGCAGTCTTGGAGAAAGTTGCCAGAGAAGGCGGGGGACTTCGTCAGGTGGTCGAGGTCTTGGGCCACACATGAACGACGACAGAGCTTTCAGAGTCGACTAGGGAGATGTCCCATGTTGTGTGCTGTTGCCTGTGAAACGATCCCAGACACTCCATAAGACTGGAAGGGCCTTGGGTCTTCCAAGAATGCCAGCAGTTTCATCCAGTTCTGCTGTTGATCTGCAACTGGTCGGCGACCCAAAAAAGGTGTCTCAAACAATGAGTCGAAAGGCCCCCGCTCACAGAATCAGGAAGGATAGCGCAACTTGCGGACAGTCCATGCCACAGCCCGGACAGGAGGAAGGATAAATATGATGAGTTGATTGGTGTTGAACGTCATTTTCTGACCAACATGGAGTCGGGCCCCGGACAGGAGGGGGGGGCGGAGGGGCGAACGTGTTTCCGATCAGGCGAAGGAAAGCTCTCCAACAAGGAGCTGTGCACAGCAGCAGTTCTGGGTCTCCTGTAGTTTGTTGAAACACATTTACAAAATAACCGATATTCTAAGGTGCATGATGGCATCAAAATAGAAACAAACTAATAATTTGATTTTTTATTTTTTTGTGCTGTATATCGGTGAGTGTACAAAAAAGATAAATAAACACACATATATATATATACTGTAGCTACAGTTACAGCCCTATTTTGACGTTTGAACGATGAACCTCAGTCACAGGAGCGGCGGCTCTACGCCAAACACCTGGAGAAGCAGAAGGAGGAAGAGGCTGAGCAGGAGACTCTCTCACAATGCCTCACTGGTGTTAGATTTAGACGACCAAATCTTACCAAATGCCAAAAATTCATGGTTGTGACCAAATCTTGCCAACGCAGACTGAAATTGTGACATGATTGATCTGTCCAATCGGACAGCCCTGATGCCGGCATCCGTCGCGTATTTGATCATCACTCAAAAGGTGTTCAACCCACACGAGAGGCGATGTGAACATGGCAGAAATGTATGATGGTCTCCATGAGGTTCAGGATGGTTTCTTCAAGGTATTTGAAGGTAATTAGAAAAAACTACTCGCTGTTCTGTTCGGGAGTTGTTCTACTTTTTCATGTTTTACTATGTTTTACTCAAGTCCCTTTACTACGGCGTTGAGCCGGCTCAACTGCTGTTACTGAATTCATGTTGGTCAAACCCCTAGTCGTGGTTTTTGTTGGGAGAAGATATGGAACAGTGACCTGGATTTTCACTCCATCCATGAGTTCTGTGCGATGAGAATTTGCCAGATTGCTAGAGATGGGAGAGGTGACACATGGAGAAACCTTGGTGCGTTCTTCGACTTACGATGTTGCTACTAGGAACAAGTGCATCGCTTCTAGTAACAAGTGCCTTACTAGTAGTAACAAGAAGCGAACGTAGAAACAAGTGCCACGCTACTAGGAACAGGTGCCTTACTAATCGGATTCTTTCGGACGCCCGGGGAGCGTAACCGCTTCGTCCGTTCGCTTACGCTCCCGGCTTCGCACAGCGGAGAAACGACAATGACTTCCAGGGACCAGTGTTCTTTTGGGACCAATGTTCACTCTGGAAGTCCACCATTTCAAACATGGTCTTCAAACCCCCAAAAGGACGAACTCCTCTACTTGGACTCTGTGGGTGCCTTGGCACCCACAGAGTCCGACTGGAACATTCGTGTGGCAGCAAAACTAGTACCTGGAATGAATCATGATTGTTTTTCTTCTCACGTGAGAAATACACACCTTTTCTAGAACCCACTTTCACCCGAATGCACACACGTTTCGCTCCGCACATTCGGGACCATGACGACTCGACGACCGTCGCAGGAGGCCTTGGCCAAGAAGGCCGAGCTGCCAGACGAGCTGCTGCGCCTGGAGGAGGACTGGTCGTTGGGTTCAGCGTCCGAAGCGTCCGAAGCGTCCGCAGCTGTCGCTCGTGTTGCCGCCGCTCGTGGCGTGTCTCGTGTCTGTCGTGTCGCTTCGATGTGTGTCGATGCTTCGATGGATCGCTGCAGCGACCCACCGTAGAGACCAGGATCTCCAAAAAGCCGACGGCCGGTCCGCCAGGAACTGAAGGCCTTTAGTGTCTCCGTACCTAGCAGCAGTGTGGTGCCAGGCTGGGGGCGATCTTCGATCGACGAGGCCCTTGCACCTGCCGTTAGACCTCAGGGTGAAACAAAAAGAATCCAGTCGGACCATCCTGTTTGGGTCCAAAAACTACCCCCACTCCTGAGGGATCTCCATTAAACATCTACTTCTTAGGGATCTCCTTAATGATCTCCCTTTAGATCCTTTTAGTTTGTTTTTAATGACAGATTTCGATTATATGAATAGTTAAGTGAGTGAGAGTGTTGGGCAAGTTCTAAAGGTTAATCTTGCGACATGTCCTCATCACCGGGTCTCGTCACCACTATGTTTCAAAACAAAAGCAATTGGTCACTGTTGCATTGCTATTTGATGCTATTTGGGCCAATGACTTTCTATTTGATCATCACAACAGTATAGAATTGCTTCCCTCCTAGATCCATGAGAACTTAGGAAGATGTGACCAAGCTAATAGATGCTAAGAGTAGATTTGTTTTCACTTCCCTCTTTAAGTGATTTTCAGTGACATAGCTCGACTCGAAAGTATACCCAAACTCAGTGTATTCCGTATACATGCTGTACACATTGTTTTCCTTTATAGACCCTTTATGATAGACGCTTCATGGTGTAAACGGTGTATGTTCATCTGGCCGTTCATCGGTCGTTCCTTTCTGCATCGGCCGAGACCCCTTCTGCGATTCTTGACGACGTGACGTGTTCTACGAAGCCAGGTGCGGTCGACCTGCATTTGGAACGCTTCTCCATCTCAGCAGGTGCGGTCCTCCATGTGGGGCGTATAGCGAGCGTTTTGAACATCGTTCAGCCCGTTTCTTTCGATCGAACAGCTCTTCGTTTTAACATCCCTAGGGCTCCAAGAAGGTGCTTGGGGTGGGTGCCAAGAGGGTCCAAATACCTTCTGAGGAGGTACTTGGAGCCCTAGGGCCCTAGGGCATGTCAGTTTAAGATTTTGGTATACCCTCAGAGGCTGAGGCAAGCAAGACTCGAGGTCATGAATGTATCTCTGGTTTCCTTTTGAGACTTTCTACCCAACTGTGATGTAGCAGTTCTCCAGACACAGTACCTCAGTTCTTCCAATTCCCAAACCCCACCGTGTGAGGAATACTTCTTTATCATTCAGATTTGCTCTCTTTATCATCCGGATGACCATCCATGCATGGATACTGCAAGTTATATTGTACATTGATCATCCTTTACCACATACTATGGTCCGAATACGTAACTAATCCAGTAACTAAACCAGTCAGATGGATGGTTTCAGAATCTTCAGCGTGACGCCAACGTTCTCCGACTGTCGTGTCGCAGAAGCGACTTCGACTGAGGCGGCCAGCGGCTCTTCGATGATGCCAGCCTTCGCTTGGCCAAGGGCCGTCGCAGGGAGCTTAAAGGTATCATCCCGTGGATTTTGGTAGAGTCTCAGGCCAGGTAGTGCTGAAGAGACTTTCTGAGATCTGCTAGCTTATGAACAAGCTCCAAACCAGATCCCCTTGTAAACTCTCAAGTCAGACCTCTCAAGTCGGACCGATGACGGCCGAGTGACAAGCGCAAGAGGCGCTCCATGCACGTCTGGGTGAGGCTATGGCCTCTTGGGTCCCAATGGCATGGGCAAGACGACGCTGCTGAAGCATCTGGCCGCGCGGCGCTTGTGCGTACCGGAGCACTGGAGTGTCACGCTGGTGCAGCAGGAGCTGAGTGTCACGCCCGCGCGAGCATGAAACAGATGGTCAACAAAAGCGATGTGATTCTTCTCGTGTTTGGTGTTCAGAACGAAACATGACCTGAAACACATGTGAGCAACTGCCAAAACCTAGCATCGCTATACAGGAAGAGTGCGCACTACAGGAGGCTTCTCTGGTCGCGGGTGTTCGCTCGCTCGCTCGCAGGAAGCAGACGCCACAGAGGTCCCGGTTGGGGTGGCTCAGGTTCTTCCCTGGGATCTTTGGAGCGCAAACCTTCCAAATGCAGACAGAGAGAGAAGGGTTTTGGGGTGCTTAAAGGTTTTCCCTGCCAGAATTCATAGCATCGATGTTAGATGGATGTTGATGGAACCAAAAAGTTTTCTTCAGATCCAGAGGCATTTTTGTTGAGCAATGCCAAAATGACGCCTCAGCCGAAGGCCACTGTTTTGTTTATCTCCTCTTGGGAGGAGCGACGACGGTAAAAAGACAGCCATGCACCAGGAGGCATGCATGTCGCACGTGTGTTCTCACAGGTATAGAATGGTTGGATTGATCGATGCCCATTGAATAGGATTAACTGATATTAACTGCTTCTTCTTTGATTGAATATCAAGTCAAAGAAGTGCAAGAGACTCAGACAGCTGAAGTACCTCGATGCACTGGATGAAGTGCAGATCATGCCGCCGATCGATCGCCTCAGGTGGTGGATGAAGTGCTCCGTGCCGATCGCCGGCGTCGCGATCTGCTCCAGCGGGAGGCGACGTCGGTGGGTGGTGAACAAACTTGCTAACTCCAAACTAAGGTCCCTCAGGATGTGCACCTGTTGTGGGACAGTGCGTTGAACTACTTTGGAAGAGCACATTAGAGAGTTTGAGTGGTACTGCCTTAGTCTGCAGGAGGGGTATCTAGTGGATGATAACACGTCCCTGCGAGTAATACATTGACATGCTAATACTACTAACATCTACGTACTAACCTTCAATATCATCAAAGTTTTTGCGTGAGCCTCTCTAAGTTCAGCTCTTTGTCTTGCATGTGTAAGAATCTCGATCTGAAACTTCAGAAACGCAGCATCACCACTGGGGCAAGTACATAGGTTTTATGCTGTTTTATGTGGCTTCTTTAAGGGTTCAATAATGTTCAAGATAGAGCACGCTAGTCTCGACCGATCGTGGTTCGAACAGATCGACCGATTTGCTCGTCTTTTGAGCTCCGATCTGCTCGCGCCTATTCTCGACGAATTGGAACTCAGGCGGATCTCCTTCGCAAGCCTGGAGCCGAGCTAGGCTTTCTGATGGAAACAGATCTCATAGACCTGAGTGACCTATAGTGACCTCTATTTTGGAGGATCAACTATCCAAAATATGATGTTTTCCCATCAAAAAAAAGGTCACTCAGGCTCTAGGTAAATATGTAATTTGGGTCTGTCCGTTCTTACCTGTAACAGCCAGTAAACAAAAACATCACTATGCTTGAACAAGGCCTGCAACCTAACCTGAGCAGAAATTGTAGGCTGAGTTTGTATGGATCCCCAAACGAGCCTCTGTGCAGTTTGCCATTCAACAAGCCCTTCCTCATGCAAAGAGTTTTCATTTCCAACTCATCCAAATGGGGATTCACGAGCTCACCTTCGATGATCGTATTGAAGAAGAGCATCAGTGCACTGTCATGGTTGACACTGTCAAACTGGAACGATGTGTCAAGCCTGATTTCCATGAGCTTGCTTTGCTTGTCACAGTTGACGTGTGTTGGAAGTTCTCGGATTTGATTGCCTTTGTCGCTTGTGAATGCCGTGTGCTCCCAAGTAAAGTGATTATTTTGGATGGTGATTCTCCCATGCCTGAGGGTGCTTTCGTCCTCCAGCAATTGTGCAGTTCATTCCGAGCAACGATCTTTGTCAACCCCTTGGACACTAGACAGCTCATTCCAAAGAAGCTTTGTGATTTTGGGCAGGCTAAAGATATCAGAGTTGCTGGAGTTAAGGTTGCCAATCCCATTTTCACTGACAACGCCTTGCCGTCGGACTCAGGATTCATCAGATTTGCTGTCAGGAACCCCAAATGGGGATCAATCAGGTCCGTAGCTGTGCACAACAAAACACCGCTACAGTGCTTGGTCTCCATGTTGCTCCCAGATTTTGATGAACCAATACCGTATATCACAGCTCAAAGCGTGATCCTAGACCAGTCCATGCCTGTCTGTCAACTGCTTGAGTATGAAGACATCGAATTGCATTTTTCAGGGTTCAAGCCTTGGCCTGTCACGAACCTTGAATATCTCATTCCATTTGCACCGTTGGTCCCACAAGATCCGCAGTTCACTGTCAAGATTTGGGTGAAGGGCCCTTTTGACTATCGTGCCAAGATTTGCCATGTCGACAAGGAGTGGTCTGTTACTAAGCTTGCTGCTTCGTACCAAGTCTTGCACAAGAGCAACCTGACCATGATTGCCATGCAGCACGGGAAAGCTGTTGACACAAGGCTTCAAGTCCAAGATTTGTGTCTTGACCATGAACTCCAAATCCGTGTTTGTGCTTTGCCAGGTGGAGCCAAGTCGGAGGACCTGCAGCGATTCTTGGAACCATTGCTGACGAAGAGGGTGTATTGGAGAGTGCTGTGAAAGCTAGGGTCCAAACCATTCTCAGCAAGATTGACAATGCCACCATTCGTGCACACATGCATGATGATCCCCAGACCTTTTGGGGTTATCTAAAGCAGTGGGCCAATGATGCAAAGCTCAGGCTCATCACACCAGAAGAGCTCAAAGCCCAAAAGAAAGCTGGTAGGCTTGAGGCAAAGGAGCATTCATCAGCAAGTTCGAGTGTCAAAAACAAGAAGCTCAGTGAAGCCACTGCTGAAAAGGTTGCTATTGACACCTTGCACTTTGTTGCCAACAATGCCGCAGTCAAGCAGATTGATCTCAATGGGTTTGCCCCAGATAGGACTGGAATTGCCATCGTCACACCTGAAGAAGCTATGAAGTGTTTGCCAGTTCGCAATATCTCTGTGGAACCGCTTGCCCTGATTGTGCTGACCCCATTTCCTTTTGGGGGAATGCCTACAGTGAGTGTCCCTGCCATCGACGGGAAAAACAATCCCATTGCCGTTCCAGTGGTCATCCTCAACTTTGGTGAACCGAAGGTCGAATTCAAGCCACAGCTGCCACAAACCAAGCTTATTGGAACGCCTGTCGTGGTGCTTGAACTCATCATTAGGAAGGAGCTTGTTACAGCATGGAGTGAAGTGCAATCGCCTTTAGCTTATTTAGGTCTCCACATCCCAGAGATGCGACGTGATGCAGTCATTGAAGCATGGAGCCTGTTTCCCTACGGAAGCCATTGTTGGAAGACTCAGCATGACCATGCTAGTTATGTCCATGGTTTCTGCAAAGTCAAAGCCACGGCTGCCGACCAGATCCTCAGACGATCAGGACATGCAGGCATTTTCCTTGCCCCTAAGACGCCAGACAAAAAGAAGGATTTGTCATACAGCCTCATTCAGATTCCTGGCAAGACCCTGGATGAAGTCATTTGCCTGTCCAAGGATGTCCCGCATACATTAGGTGTCGTTGAATGCATGACCAATTATGCTGTCCGCACTCGGAGGGAGCATGTACATGAAGTCCGCGCCAAGATTTTGCCGCAGAGTATTTCCATCCTTGAAGGACAAGTCCAAACTGATGCCGATTGGTACTTGCTCAAAGGGTTGAAGGATCAAACCACGCATGACATCCTCACCAAGACCTTGCAGGATTTGGGCTGGAATCAAGCTGTTGCAATTCGACCAACAAGGGGTGGTGCATGGCTCATCAATGCCAAGGATGATCCGCCTTTTGGTCATTTCCAGATCAATGAAACTTATGTTTCTGTCACCAAGTTCAACCGCAAGCAAGATGTCAAACACAGTCCTGCACCCAGTGACATGAAGTTCCAGTTGGTGCATTCGTCTGTCCCGGCCACACCGGCAGCCTCCACATGCTCTGATACTTCGCGATATGACGAATTGCAGGAGCGTTTGACGACCATCATCAATGATAAGTTCGCAGAAAAGATGAATGAGACCCAGCAGCAGATTCAAGGGTTGAATACCGCTGTTCAAAACCTTGAACAGCATGGCTCCCAGCAAAAGGCTGCGATCTTAGAGCTCAAACGCAGTCAGGAGGAATGTGTTGGCAAGGTCAATACCATGCAGCAATCCATGCAGAGTGCCATTAGTGATGGAAATGCTGCAATCATCCAGCAGATGGACAAGTTGTTTGCACATTTCAATAAGAATGTTGACTCACGACTTGCTGCCATTGAATCCAAAGTCGATGACGCCGATCCGTGCAAGCGTGCCAAGGTGTCTCAGTCGTGACTAGGTAAGTCGTGCGCAATTCGGACATTCATCACTGTGATCCTTTTCGCAGTTTGCACACAACCAGCGTATGCATATGAAGACTGCACAGTCCTCGATCCCATGAATTACCATAAAGGTGTTGATAATTTGCATTTGCCAATTCGCTTGCATTGTCCGCCCATGTGTCCTGTTCAGACACCTTGCAATTCTCCTTGGCCTTGGGGGTCCTCCCGAGCTGACCTGCTTTGTGGAGTTGATGCCATTATTCCTTTTGCATTGTCTTCTGACACATGTCTGGTCCCCATTGACCAGGTGAAGCTCAGGTTGCATCATTGCAGCGGGCATCCAGGGACAACCCTGGATTGTGATGGTGTTCCTTCGAGTGTTGGTTTGATCAAGCACCAAGCCTGTGTGTCCTCCGGAAGGGAGCCGACCAAGAGCTTGCAAAATCGCATTTTGATGTTTTGGTGCCTGGCATTTATCATGCTTTTGAGTTCGCCCAGATTTGTGTGGTTGGTGTTTGGCCTTGAATCATTTCACTGCCAGTGTACGCTAGGTCACCGCACAATTGTTCTCGCAGCAAGGAAAATTGGTGGTAGACGCTCCAGGCTACCGAGATATTTGAATTCGAAGTTCGTTCATGCCATTGTTGGTCCACTTGGTTTCTTTTCCATGATGTGTGAGGACCCTCCCCTTTGGTCGTGTGGTGATGTTTTGGGGCTTCTCTTTCCATTTGATCCTGGCACTCGGTCCTTCATCTTTTGGTTGCGTTACCGCAAGGCTTTGTTAAGGGGTCGATACACGAATGCCTGCGCTTGGAATACTGTTTTGGGGCCAACGATACGTGTCGCCAAGTCCCATCCCACACATTGTCATCATATTGTGACTTCACCCATAAAGGCACAAGGTGACCTTTCCCAGACTGGTTTTGTTCGCAACCACATGGCACGTTTTTCTGCTTTCAATTCGTCCTGTGCTCATGTTTGGACCAGAAGCACTGTTTTCGTGTTACACCAGTCCAATTTCGGGAAGACCTATCTAAGGTTCGGTGAAGCCAAAAATCCTGGACCTGTTAAACAACTGGATAACAAACAATTTGATCATGAACTTTCCAATACCTTTTCAATTGTGCACTACAATCCGACCACAATTTTTGGGAAGATTGATGATGTCGCCAGCCTACCAAAAGGTATTCACCTTGTTTCGGAAACAAGTCATACACCACAAGCGACTTCCATCATGAAAAAACAATTTGCAGGTAAGGGAATCAAGTCTTTATGGTCCGAACCTGTAGCTCCATATAATACTGCGTTTGATGGTTTAAGAGGCCTTGCAGGTGGCACAGCCATCCTTTCACATCGCCCTCTTAAGGATGCAGAGCTATTAGTTAAACATAAGTTGATTGATAGGCAACGTGTCAACACTGCTTTTGTTCAAATACGACCACATCAAATGGCATTCTTTGCTGCGGTTTATGGGCCACCAAAGAATTCTAGATATTATGCACCAGAAGCTATCACAGATAGTCTGTTCTCGTCTATGGCTCATGCTGCCCTTTCTTTCCAGGGACCTGCAGTCATTGCTGGCGACTTTAATATGGATCTTGATGCTTTGCACTTGTGGGACAAGATGAAAGGGCTTGGTTGGTTCGATGCTGCCCTTTTTCATGCTCAGAGGCATAACCAAGATCCAGAGATGACATGCAAAGATGCCACGCGATATAGTTTCATACTTTGTTCAAGAGAATGGTTACAAGGGTCCCAATCCTGCAGAATCATTGACCACAACATGTTTAGTGCCCATCCTGTCTTGTGTATGCAGACTCATCTTCCTTCCTTTTCCACACCGATCTACAAGTGGGTTTTGCCACAGTCATTTGATGACCACATCCATGATAGTCAGGTTGCTTTGCAACATGCAAATCATCTAATTCATCAAAATCAAAACAAAATCCAAGAGCTTACACATTCGCCTGATCTCAATAGCTTGTGTGAGCTATGGTCGTCTATTGCTGAGAACACCCTGGCTGAATCAGCCGTTGACTGTGAAGGTCATCCTGTTCGCTTTAAACGTGATTTTTTCGGAAGAGGTAAGAGGCCACTGTTTGTCCGATCTGACCTTGATCAACCTGCTCCAAAGAACGCAAGATGGGGCGATGTACAGTTTCGAACTGCCACGCCAACTGTTGAATACCGTAGGCATATTCGTCAAGCCCATAGGTTGCAAAGCTTGGTTCGACAATTAGATAGTTTCTATAAGAAGCCATCTAAAAGAGCTGAAGAACAACTTGTGGTACTTTGGAATGCCATAATCCAAGCCAAAGGCTTTCATAAGTCTTTTTCGCATTGGGCATTCCAGCATGGTGCGAATTTCTTGCCACTCAAGCTGCCAGACCTTGAATTTGCTAGGTGCCTCACTGATGCTTTCGTGGAATGGCATGCCGCAAACACTTCCTATTTTGCGCGTGAAAACAGACGCATTCGATACGTAAATAGATTGTTAGACATCCAGCAGGGAGGCAAACAGACTTTTCGTGCTATTGCCGATGAGCCACCTCCGCCCTTGCAGTTTGTCCATTTCCCAAAAGAGTTCACAGTTGTCAGGCAAAAATGGCCAAAAACTGGTAAACACCAAATAATCCTTGAAGATGTGACTAACCTTCGGTTGGATGCCATACGATTTCAGGGCCAAGAAGTCTGCATCAAAAAATAGAAGGTTCCGTTATCACTGTTGATAAGCCTTTGCGCCTGCGGAGTTCAAGCCTTGTGCTCACACAGGATGCTTGGACCATTGACCATGATAAGATGCACAACTTAGTCAACCAAGAGTGGGATGCCTTTTTCCAGCGTGATAGTAGGCAGGAGAATGAATTCCATGCTATTAATCAATATCTAGAGGTCATCAAAACCGACCAGATCATGAAGTACCACCCAATCTCTGTTTGTGACCTCAAACAAGCTATTGCATCGACAAGTAAACTCAGTGCGAGAGGGGGTGATGGTTTCACCACCCTTGACCTTAGCAAAATGCCAGAGCCAATTTTGCAGATGCTTTCGCATATTCTTTGCCTTGTGGAACATAATAAAGTATGGCCACACAGATGGGTAATTGCCAAGACCTTATGCCTCACGAAAGGTCACTCGCCCACGTCCCCATTAGACATTAGACCTATTACCATCCTTTCTAAAGTTTACAGGCTTTGGAGCAAAATTAGAGGTAAACAACTCGCAAATTTTTTGACTGCAAACCTCCCACGCCAGATTGGTGGACCGTCCTTGGGAATTTCGAGTGAAATGATTGCCTTGTTAAATGCTGAGTTGATTGAGGAAGCAAACATCACTGGTGCCAGACTTTCAGGTGTTGTCCTCGATCTCATTAAAGCGTATAACACGGTACCTAGAGACCCCCTGGTTCAAGTGCTACTAATAATGGGTGCAGATCCGACCATCGTTGGTGCATTCCTTTCTGCAATGGACGCCATGCATCGTGTCTTCATCATTGATGGTACTGCTGGCCAGGAATTTACCACCACGACTGGTATTGTAGAGGGATGCTCGTTTGCTGTTCCTGCAATGCTTGCCATTAGTATTTGGGCCTGGAAAGTTCTCCTGGCAGAAGTCCCTGATGCAAACTGTCTTTTCTTCGCTGATAATTGGTCTTTCGTACACGCCGACCATGCAGCTTTGCTCCATGGACTGGACCATCTCAATAAATTCTTAAACACCATTAAGATGCAGCTTTCAAAGCCTAAGTCTTGGCTGTGGTCCAATAATCCTGAAGGTAGACAGTATCTTCGTCAGGACCCCTATAACCTTTCAATCCCTATGCACGAAGCTGCCAAGGATCTAGGTGTTCAGCAGAATTATACACGGAAAAGAAGGAAGCCACAAGGTGCACTTAAAATTCGTAAGACCATCGATAAGTGTAAGAAAATCAGTCAGATCAATGTCCCGAATCATTTCAGGCAAACCATGACTGTTGCTGCCGCACATTCGAAGCATACGTATGGTGCTGCTGTGTCAATCATGTCCAGGGATTCATTTGGTGAGCTTCGTACAGCCACTGCACAAGCCATTAAGAGGTCTAAAGGTGGGTCGAATCCGTATCTTGCTTGCAACGCCATCGAGCCACTTGATCCTGAGTACAAAGATATTGTAAACAGATTAATTAATTTTCGTAGGTATCTCAGAACTTTTCCACATAGAAGAAGATCCATCGAAAATGCAATCCAAGCCACTCACCATTCATACAGAAAAGCTACTGGCCCTTGTGTCAGTTTGGGTCTGGCCTTGGACAAGATTAAGTGTACCCCTGCCTTCCAGGACCAGGTTTTTGGCATTGACACCCCATATGGTTTCCTACATGTTGAACACACTAGTGCCAAGCTTATTAAGTATATTTGTAGACATTTGTGGAATGACCAAATCCCGCATTTGATCCATAGGAAAGATTTTCATCAAGCACCGTTTGATTTTGAAATCATCCACTCTGCCTTTCGTAAGTTAAATCCGTCCCAACAGGCCCAGATCAGTGCTTACATCACAGGCAAACGCATGACTCAAGATGCTTCCAAGGTGTTCCGAACTGACATTACTGGTCAATGCCCGTTTTGTGAGCATGATGATTCTCGTATTCACAGAATCTACTACTGCCCACAGTGGCATGAACAACGCGTGCAGGCACATGTAACTTTTGAATGCAGCCAAGCATTGGGCACTAACATGCCCACGCTTGGCCTTCCCGATAAGATTGATCTGCCTTTCAAGGAATGCCTGGGATGTTTAAATTGCGCTTTGCCTTTTGCAGTGCCTGAACATTCCCATAATGCACCACTCTTATTCTTAGATGGCACAGCTTTCTGTAGCACTAATCCCATTACCGCCCTGGCCGGAGCTGCTGTCGTTCAAGGATTTCCCGACACTTTGACAACCAAGCTCATTCTTCGCACTCGTGTCGTAGGTATTGCACAAAATTCCTACACAGCTGAAGTTTTTGCAATTCTGTTGGCACTCAACCATGCGTGGCATGCAACACTGTTTTCGGACTGTCAAACTGCTGTAGATCAGTTTAACTACATCCTGTTGCATCATGCCTTGCCTGACATCCAACCCGGGTATCACCATGTTTGGGCCTTAATATTGAGACATTTAAACTGTCGTAATTTCTTGGGTGTCTCTATCCAAAAAGTTAAAGCACATGAACAGTGGTCCCAAATCTTGGATGCTAACTTGCGGTTTCAATCATTTGCCAACTCGCAAGCCGATTACCATGCTAAAGCTGTCTTTTTACAGGATAACAAATCCCTGTTGGATCAACACAGGCACATTGTTGATTGTATACAACAAGCCCAACAACAGCTTGATTCCATTTATCAATTCGTTGCTGCTGTTTGGGTGGACTCCATTAATGCTTATAAAAAGAAAAACAAAATTGACAACCAGACACGTGGTCGTATACAATCAGCTGACGTCCTGGCTACTGCCCAGCTCAAGTGGGCCCCATGTTCCCGTACCAAAAGTGTTAATTTTGACATTGATCTTGAACTGTGCAAAAGGTGCCCCTACCATCCTATCTTTTGTTTTCGGTTACTTTGGTGGGCCAAACAATTGCATTGGTGTGGGCCGAACTGTTCATGCTCTACTCGTATTACCTTTGCACAATTGTACCTAGATTTCTCAGTCACAACAAAATCAATTGCTCCAGTCAACATGGCCCCCGGAAAAGCTCGTTCTTGGAAAGGGGTTTCTGATTTTAGATTACAAGATGTTTCCAAAGAAGCTGACGCAAAAGGTCCTCAGACCTTGGCGGCACAGTCAAAAATTTTCATTCTCTGTCTCAAGTGGCTACACGCCCATGGCGTGTATCCCTTTGGCCATGACCGGGAAAAGATTGATCGTACAGATGAGCTGAACTGGATTGGCATCAGAGGTGGGTTCCCTGCCCTGAAGGGGAGACCGAAACTTGCTTCTGGTTTTGATTCTGCTTTAGCCCTGGATGCCTATCTAAAACAGGCCTCACCACCTTCCAGACATTTCAACCTGCATTGGCGTGTTTCTGGTTTGCCCGTGCCACAACACCCAGAGTCTCTTAATTTGTCTTTTGACCAAATTGTATGTTGTATTTTGGACCAGCAGCACTGAAGTTTTCTTCACGCATTTGAGCATTGACTTCCCATGGACGTCTTGGTCCTTCCATTTGCATGTCAGCCTTGCATTGACGCATTCGTGTTCCAATTTGTAATTTGTTCTGATTAGGCTGTTGGTACGTGAACACTGACCAACTGTCTGGAAGTGAATACCACTCTATTTCACTTCGTTAAGATGCAAAGCGGAAAAAAAATCCACTGTTACTGGTAATATGATAGACCAGATCCTACGGCAACCACTGCCACGGTACTACATACATCATTAGGAGGATTCTCTTGGGAACCTTGGGAACCTATCGAAACACATGGGAACTGGATCTTTTTCTGTAGTAGGTTGGAGGCCATCGCTAGTAGGTTGGAGGCCATCGCTTCTAGGATATTCTCGGTTTCTCCCTGGAAAGATGATGTTTTCTTCAATCCCGCTGAGGCTGGAAGCGGAGGGAGACGCCGAGGCCCTCGACCATGTCTCGAGAGCGGGGGGATGTATTCAGAAACCCACCCGAGCGTTCGTCTTGAAAAGGGCGGTTTGGTTCGCCGGGAGATGGTCTTTAAATCTAATGCAGTCCATGTTGGCTTGCGTTTTTGGAGGGAGCATTTATAGCATGTCAAACGGTCACAGGTCTAGAAGGGTTCCAATTGTGTTCATACTCGCTTCGGCATGACCAGAGGTTGTTGAGGGTCAAGTAACTCTCTACATGGACTGTGGGATCAAGGAGTATGCCCTCTTTATAGCCTTATCAGTGTATTAAATCGATTTGCCAGCTGTTTTTGAGGACCAGCAGATCCAGGTAGACAGACTTGATGAATACATGATATCCCAAGACACCCCCCCAAAAGGATGAATACACTGAAAACACACTTTTCACGTGTGTTGCATGGATCGAGAACTGAGCACTCTCAAAGGTCTCTTGAGATGCCTTGAGTCTTGAACTCTTTCAGAACTCAAATCAACCAAAGTTTCACAAAGAACTCTTCTTCCATCTTCTTCCCTTTGAGCTTCCCTTTTTATCCACAGGACCACTCCCCATCACATGACCGCACGACCGCTCGACCGGGGCGCCGGACGCACAGGACGCACAGGAGTTGCAAAAGCTCTGCGAGGAGTTGAGCTCCGTCGCACAGGACGGAGCGTCACTCCGCACCTAGAACACCGAGGTGCCGGACTCGCGACAAGACGAAGAGCAACTAGGCGAATCAGGACGGTGATAGATAGTCACCCGGATCCCACAAAAGGTTTTAATGTAGACTTGATTAATAACCCTCCAAATGAAAAGGATTTCACAAGCGGGGGGTTATTAATCAGTCTACATTAATCCAGTGCTTTATGCGCCCAGATGAGAGAAGCATTTCAGGGCTCCGGTTTCCGCCAGTCCGGAAGATGGAGAGGACTTGGATGCCATGGGAGCAGAGGCAGCAGAGGCGTCCGGGGGATGAAGGAGTTCTCCAACCACCTAAGGGGCGGGCGGGCCCCTGTTGCACTTGCATTGTTTTGGATATTTGGGGGTTTGATATGCAAATCCTTGAGCTTGGTTTTTGGGGACCGCACTAACATGGGTCCGAACCACATGATTGCTCTCTATAGTGGTTTGAGATCAAGCTTATGCAAAGCATTGCTGAGTAATGTATAAAACAGGTAGAGTCGAGTGACTTTTTGGTAGTCGTTTGGCATTGTGGCTGCTGTTGTGATAGGAGTCGGAAAGACTTAAAGCCTTAACGAAGCCCCTGAAGTGAAGGAATGGACCACCTCCCACGCGAAGAAGCCCCTGAAGTGAAATGCTACCATGTGAATGAAATGCTGGCAATGCCGCTTCCCAACTGAACAGACCCCCCAATGTGTTTTTTCTGCGCTAGCATTTAGCTCCTCTCCCATTTGAATTTAAACAGTGACTGTCCCCACCAATTTCACTGTGACCATATTTATCACTCCCATCACTCCCATCTCGCCACCACCCACCCTCTCCACGAGCCTCACTCCGCCTGGCGACCGATCGCGGCGGGGGCGGTTTCAGGCGTCGGTGCGGAAGATCCTGTGCGGCTTGGGCTTCACCAGTGCCATGATGGATGGTCCGGTGCACGTCTTGCCCTTCGGACCTGGTGACGTTTTGCACGGCTTGGAGTCTGGGACTGGGAGGTGTTGGGCAGAAACGATAGATTTTTCCGAATGGGGGTGTGACTGCAAACTGTATATAGACATAGAACAAGTGAAGGGAACACGGATGGGGATGGAGATCAGGTTGGATAATCCTTGTGGTGTGAGGCTGTTTCTTTCAACATTGCATGTGTTGAGTGGTATGAAGGGGTTCTTGAATGTTGCTATGGATGATAGCATCGATCCGCATCAAACAGCTTTACAATAGGGATGTCGTACCTGGATGGACCCATTTTTTTCGGGGGGGGGGTGAATGTTCGGGTGGTTTCCCATATTTGCTTTGGAAGAATCAGAGACCCTGGAACCCCCAAAATTGGGACCTACAAGACAGATACTTGCTATGATTTGCTATGCGTATTTCCGCGGCTTTGGCTATGTGCACATGCTGTCAACGATTCATCTTCGTTTCTTCAAGTTCAATCCCATTTCACATAGTTTCATCGACAAAAACATGGTGCATCCTGCCGATCCAATTGTAGAGTTTCAGGGTGTAAGAACCAACACCCCCCCCATTGGCCGCACTGTCATCCGTTCGAGGTCGGGCGGCTGGAGGATGCGCGTGGTGCCCTGGGGAATTGCCAGGAGCTAGTTACTAGTAGCTTCTTGCTCCGGTCGTAGCAATGCCCTTTATTCCTAGTAGTAATGCCAGGAGCTACTAATGCTCGGTCTCATCTCATTCCACTTACCTGGTGGCAAGTGCTTGCACGCCGGGAGCAGATCATCCGAGAGAAACTGGAAGATTGATCGAAAGATTCATGTGGAGCTACACCAGGTGCTCTTCAATCGCCTTTTGGAAATTGGTATGAGGCTTCTCCACCTGAAAGGCATTCGGGCTGCGGTGTGGTTCTGGCCTTTCGCGAGATTGAACGCTGGCAATGGCCATTCCCTGCAATTCCTATCAAACGGTTCCCCCAATTTCTTGTGAGGTTCGCATCCTTTGCTGGATCACCATGAGTGGAAATCCACTGGAGCCCTCAAGTGGGAAGGTTGACCCAAACGTGACAACGATCGATCTCAGGAAGATTTTGTCATAGCCCTAAGATATCGACTCCGAGATCTTCGTCGATTTCTTGGTTGACAATGTTTTTTGGTGTTTTCTCAGGTGTCTCCTTGGCCAAGGCGCTCTTTCTGGAGTGTGGAGCCCAGCAAAAAATATGAAGAAGCCACTGTTACAGACTGATACTGTACCTAGATTGCACGATGTAAGCTGTATGTTCCCCTCCCAAAAACCGTTATTTTCAAGGTATTCGCTGGTTTAGACGCAAAACCACCATCGACACGCATGCAATGGCGTGAGCAGGAGGTAAGAAGAGGTGTATCTCCCCATTGGGAGGGCATACGCATGCATACGCCAAGGGTTCCTTTCTTGTTGTTACCCGCCGACATGTGCAATGGACTGGACATGGACATGGACTTACATGGACAAGTTGAACATGTTTGTCCAACATGTACCTAGTAGGGAATTCTATTAGTATTTCGTGCTATTTCATGGCTATTTCTACCTACTGATTGCTTCATCCTATTGGTCCAGCAATCGCTTCGGACCCGGAAGACCCAGGCCAGACCTGCTGCTGCTGGCTGGAATGCTCAGACCCACTCAGGTGTGACCCACATGACCCCGCCCGACATGACCCCAGGTGATTGGACCCCCCAAACCACCCACAACCATCGAACCGAACCGAGCGGCCAGGAGCATCCCTCGACCCAAGGGATCCCAAGCAAAAAGGGCGTCGTATTTGGCAGGCCGACGCCAGGGTCGAGCAACGCACAGGAACAGACCAAGCAGGGAGGTTTGGGGGGGTGGTTTTGGGGGCCGAAGAGTTCAAAAGATGAGCAACTCAAGTCCAGGACTCGTCTTCCCTGACTCGACTCGAAGCGTGTTTTCATGCGTCAACGTCTGCCTTTTGATGGGCCGATTTGAAGGAAGCTGGGCGTTGGGTCGATTTTGTGGGACTTAAAAGAAGTGGCAAGTTGAACCGTTTCACCTGGTTACTTCGCCCGGGTCGAGCTGGTTGTACCTGTCGGTTAAAGAACATGAGGTGAGCCAAAGTTGTGCAGAGTTCAGGGGACTGCAGAGTGATTTTGATCAGCGCTTGAGGGGTTTGGTGATCTATGTCGCTTTTTGTTGATGGTCTACCATTGATGGAAGATTTCCAGATAACAAACCCGCTAAGAACTAAGAACATATGAACAGACTTCGTATCCATGTCATATATCCATATATATGATCATATGTTGATCATATATGATCATATATGTATATTTCATTGATATTCATTGTACTTACTCGGGACTTGGCTGACGAGCCAACGAACTGCTGAGGACGAGCCAACGAACCATTTGGATTTGGATGCTGTGTTTGGGGGCCCAGTCCTGGTGTTCATTGGAGTTCGAAGGATGGACTCATGGACTCTACCAGGTGTTTGTTCCACCTGTGGTGTAGCAGTCCAGCACCGACTCTGCGAGTGCAACACCACGTCCATTGTGAACCAGGAACCAGGTTTGCATCCCATTGACCACGTAGTCATCGTGGAGGGCAACACCACGTCAGTGCCACTTCTGCTTCGCTGTACTTCGAGACATGACCAGACCCTCAGTCAGAGTGAAGCAAGAGAGCGCAACGAGGTTCATGGCCTCACGGGGAAAGGGCAGGACGGAGGGTCCAAAAAAAGGGCTTGAACAAAAATGAAAGACTAACATTTAAAGCGTGTATATACATTTAAAACCGGTAAACCACTTTAATGCGGGTCCAAAAAGAACTAGAACCCTACAACAGGTCAAAAAAGAACACTAAAGCGGGTCCAAAAACAACCCTAAAGCGGGTCAAAAATTGAACCCTAAAGCAGTGCAGGTCAAAAAACAACTCTAATGCGGGTCGAAAACGAACCCTAAAGCGGGTCAAAAAACAACACCAAAACGGGTCAAGAAAGAGCCCTCCACCAAACAGTCAGAATAGAACCCAAAACGGGTTGAACAAAACCATGTCCCTCAGATTCTAAGCCTCATTGACTTTTCATGCATGCATACCTGCGTCCTTAAACGTAATTTTGTGATAATATTAAATGTAACACCGTGTGGCAGAGGTATAGTTTGGATAATATTGAAACCCCATGCACTTACAAAACCCCACGGAAGTACTTGGTCCGATGAGTTGACGTGTGTGATTGGTACATCCTAAACGGGTGTTCCTGGAACCCTGGCTAAACCGGGACCTCTTTGGATACCTCTATGGTGCATGATAGTAATATAAAGGCCGCTTAACGTTGGACAACGAGCCGCGTGCCGCGCGAGACAACGAGCGGTTTCCTTGCGGGTTTTTCAGGTTGTGGCTGGACGAGTACCTGAGCGAATATCCCAAGTTCGGGGACTCAGTTCTCAACATTTGGACTGTTTGCGTGTGTACAGTGTATACGTCACATCTAAAACTCACGTTAGTGATGTACTTTCCGAGAAACCAGAGACACGCTGCCACCACCATTGACACCACCGAATTGACACCGTGGTAATTCGTATAAAAACCGAATTGACAAGGTCCGGTCGTCTGCAGGACCCTCTTGGTGGTGTCCCATGACGCGGATTTCCTCGACTCGGTTTGTACCGATGTGGTGCACCTGGAGGACCGAAGCTCAAGCTGTCAAGGCACGGGTTGGGAGTTATGAGGCCTCTTGGACGCTAGAGGGTTGAAACAGATTGAAACCAATTTGTTGTGTTCAAAGTGTTATTTTTCACTTGTGTTTGAGCATTTGTTGTTGTTTTCAATGTGTTTTTGTTCAACTCAATCAATTTTATTTTTTTGCTCTTGAGCTGGAGGTTGCGGACTGGCTCTCAAGCTTTTGTACCCACTGCACTGATCTTCTCATGTGGCCAGTGACTGGAGGAGAAGAAACTCATCCAGTACAAGGGCGGCTATACGGCGCCTTGGATGCATCTAGAGGGGTCAGGGGTCCTTTTAAGCAGAATATATATAGGTTCTTTTAGAAACTCTAGTGGCACGGCAGGCCCTGAACCTGTGCTATTACAATCGCAGCTGTAGCCAAGCAGCTTCCACTTTTTTCTAGCCACAACTTATAGCATATAGGTTGGAGGCCATTGCTCTTAGGTTGCAGACCACCGCTTTTAGTAGGTGTACTGTGGGCGCACTCGGTTCCCACAAAAAATAAAACACGGTTCAGCGAACCTAGTTGCTTCAAAGGGTCACACTGGCACACATCAGGTACTCTTGAGGGTGTGAAGCTACCAATTCCATTGGGTGCATTTCGGTGCTTTTGATGGGACGATTGACACCCCCTCCAAAAAATATAGCAGTAGTTCACAGAGCCCCTTCACTGCCACTTCGGTGGACATCGGGGCCATCCTTCGGCATCGCCTACTGGCCGGCACATCGGCACCCTCGGTGCCACGGAGCGGCATGGCAGGAGTTCCGCAAGGCGCATGCCTGCCGTGTGCGGGAGCGTGAAAAGGAGCCTGGGTCTTACTCATCCAGACTCCAGACGAGTCGGGGTAAGTTGGGGGACGGTTTTCGACCGGAGGTTGGGTCGGTTGGGTTGGGGGTTTGGTATACGACATGGAGGCTCCGGAGGTTCTTTTTTGAAGGAAATGCATTGGTGACAGAAATGTGGCAAATCAATCAAGGTTCATAGTGAGATGTTGGGAGTTGTTGTTTTCAATGATCCCCGTTTGGTGGTCGTTGTTGACGGAGTTGACTGTGGTTGGATTGCAAGTGAGAGGCAGTTCTGATTCCGTTTGGCTTCTTCCGCTTGGTAGGGCCAAGAGAGCGTGGAAAGATGTGGACCCTTGGCCTTTTCTCTTGGGTATCGGCTGGGGTTCTCCCAGACTAAGTTTTGGAGAGCTGAAAAGATCGATATTTGTGATGAAGACCGATTCACAACATGAACATGGTGGAAACCGTGTGGAAAACGAACGTGCTCCGTTTAGACCGAGTCATACCCCGTCCGTGCTCCGGATGCCCCATCTATGTCCGTCCGTCTTGCGGCGCCTTCCCGGTGATGTGCCGTCCTCTTCCTCGATCCGCTGATCTAACTGAGCTCAGTTGGATCAAACTAAGGGTCAAGAAGCAGCAGGAGGAGAAGAAGGTCCGGTGGATTTTCTGCATGCGATCCGAGCGGATCCGAAGCCGCTGGTGTCAGGGAGGTGGGAGCAAGTATGTGGAGGACACAGCTGTTTTGTAAGGCGAGCAGGAGCAGTGTTTACCCTCCAAGAAACATGAAAGTGGAAAATCGCTCTGTTTGTAAGGGAAAATGGAATTCTCAGTCTGACTGTTGTCAACTTCCATGTTTGTTGGATAGAAAGTATTTGCCTTTTACACTCTCACGAGGCTGAAAGGGTTTGAGCCGTCTTATCGAGCCGTCCTTGGGGATGTAGCTGTAACTGTAACGAAAGCTGTAGGGGCGAAAACCAAAGCACCAAGAATGGCTTATGAGGAAGAGGAGTGAGTAGTCACATGGGGTTCAGCTGCATGACACCTGTTTTTTCCCGATGGGGGTTGCTCCACCCATCTACTGATATCCTTTACCGAACCCACAAAGACTGGCATAACCAGGCCATGTCCTTAGGCTAGACCAGTGTTGTCCAGCACTCATATATGCAGTTGGCTGGAGCCACTTCTGTTAGGTCGCTTTGGCCGCACCAGGCTGGCAAGAAGCTTCACCAAGATGAGGTGCTTGGCTGTTTTGGGGCGCCAGTTGGAGTCCACAGTTTGGGGCGTCTGAAGGTTGGTTCCGGTTTGTCCAGCTGAACATATAGTGTTTAGCTGATTGATGGTGGCCTCCTCCATTGAAATGTGTAGTTGGAATAGACGCATAGACGTTTGCTTGAGATTTGTGCCTATGTCAAGTTCATACAGGAAAGGCTCTTGCCAATACTCTCTCAACAGGGACTTTGGCCTGCTCTGATCAATAGGAACGCAGATCGAAGTCCAGTTTCGCAAGGCCCATGCCAATACTCTCTCATCTTGATATTTGATTGGTTTCTTGTAGGTGCTCAGCAAATTAGTCCAGCAAAGCATGTTTGAGGAATTCACTGTTCACTTCCACAAAGAGATCCCTTTCAGCACAGGTGGTGGAAAAGATCAAAGACTATGTTGCTGGGCTGACACTATGGGCCCCCGGAAAAGACGGTCGGAAGACATCGGAGTCCGCTCCCAGTTGGTTTGGGGACCCCAAAATGAATGACCGCCTAACAAACTGGGAATGTACATGGCACCGAACCCAACAGTTCTCCGACATGGAGGGTTGGGTGTTAGGCCCTGTTGCAGGTTTCAATTGGTGACCTGTTGGAGGTGCTGGTATAGGAGATGTCTTCCGGGTTTTTAGGTCCGCTTTCGTCCGCTACGTGTGTTTCACAAAGAGTGACATGTTTCCTATGCAAATGCATTTTGGCGTGAGCAGTTGGCACATCCTGCGGAACATGTCGATAACTTGGTTGTCAATGCTGATCCTAGTGTAAACAGTGTTATACATGCATGCATTCAAACCCTGGTTGAAGATCATGATATTTCATGATGATTATAGTGTTGGCCAAATAGAAACGGTTGTTAATTACATGAATATTGATTTCAACCCTAAGAATCCTTGGCCCTCCATGCCAGGGGTCGGACCCTCCATAGCAATGTCTGACAACAAAGGGGGCGGTCAGAAGGACTCTAAATGCCAAAGGTCAAAAGAAATCGATACTCAATACTCCACGTAGCCGCCGCCTCTGAAGGCAATTCTTTTCACACATGCAAGATTTGGATTATATTAAATGTTCAAAAAGGGGCTGGTCCTGGTCCAACTACAGCTCCAAGACGACCCTCAAGAAAAGGACTCCTTATCTCAGTCTCAGCCGCTGCCGGTGCTCTCACCGCAGCCAAAATCACCAACCACAAGGAAAAACACAGAACTCAACTGCACCACACTCCTCAGGTCGTCAAGTTCCGCTTCCTCCCCCCCCAACGGCGACGACCGCGGCGGCATTTCGGTGCCGAGCGTAGACCGCGCGGCGTGCGGAGGGGGAGTCAGACCGCGGCGGCGTCAAACATGGAGGGCTTTGAAGCAAGAAATGATCAGAACAACCTGGTGACACACACCAAGCAGTTCATTGGAACGTGGTCAGACTGATTCGACCACTTCTTCATCCTTCCCTGCATGTCGGTCCGATCGATGTGGCCTGTGGTTTTGGTTGCGGATTGCAGCACTCGAGCACCTGGACCCATTCAACTCGTGTCAGTTCGTAGAAAAACGTCGAAGACCGACACTGGTAAAGACAAGTGTGAATTCGGGACCTATAGCACAACCAAGTATATATATGTGATTTGCACATGAAATGGCATCAATAATTTAACAATTGGGACACATTCAGGACGTGTTGTTTCTTTTCTCCTCAAGTCACACGTCCCAAGCTTCGTTCCCTCGTCCCGAACTCGTTTTTTCAGGTACATGATGTGGACTTCAGCTATTCAGGCGTGACTCGACGTGGCGAAACCTACCTTCAAACCACGCGTCGTTTGGTTTGCACTGGATTGACATCCACGCCAACCACCGGGGGAGCCAGAGAATCATGGGAGTGGCCCCAGCTGTTGCAGCGCCCACTCTGCCAGGCGCCCAGTGCTTGGTCGAATGAACATGAGAAAGTCGATGATTCGGGAATGTTCGAGAGCTTGTCAGGCTACCCCCAGCATGACCTCCGTTCTACTTGTACCAGGGTTTGCAGAAACAAGACGTTTGGACCACCGGAACCTATGAGATGAAGGAGGCCAGAAAGAGCATGTCCGCATCCATTGCAGCATATCATCTTATCTCAGGACCAGTTCAACCTCTGTCAACTCTCATCCCGCTTCGTTCGCTCTAAACCCTAAACCCCTTCCATCCCTCCTTTGCTTCGGCTTCGCACCCCCCGCACAAAACCCCACCAATCGCAACTCTGGGCTCTCCGAGCGCTTCATCGGTTCCTCATCAGATGGCCCTTTCGCCTCCGCGAGGCAAGAAGCCTTGGCTGCTGCATGGCTTGAACTTCCGCGTGGACGCTGGGAGCCCCGAAATCCAAGCCCATCCCGCGGCGCGGGGGTCAGCCCGCGTGGCGCTTCCGACGTGAGTTCGACTACGCCCACACACAGACGAAGTCGCGGGCGCCCGCGCCAAGTCGTACGCGTTGGTTCTTTTTCTCCGGTGGGACCGGGCACCGGGCTCCAGGCGGCGACGAAGTTGGCGGTCCTGGGGCCCAACGGCGCAGGCACGCGGAAGAGCGAAGGGTAGAGCGAGGGGTGAGGACGCTGGGAGCTGTGGGATGTGATGCATTCCGGGTCGAAGGTGAAGAAGCGGCTGGAAGGCTCTTCGATCTGTGAAACAGAAGTGAGATGGAGGATGGAAGTGTAGCAGGGGGGAGTTGTGAAGCGCCTTTTCAGAGCCGGTGCAGAACTGTGGATGTGGAGACGTTCACACCATTTCACACTGTACCATACCAAGTGAGGAGAGTGAGATAATTTGGAGGGACTGTTGTACAGCAGAACGAATTCTTCTCCTTTTGACGGATGGTTACCTCGCAGGGCTGGCAGTTTGCGCACATTTCGAGCACTTTTCCGTGCCAGTGGACGAAGGCTTCGCATCAGTGTCAAGCCACGCAAGCCATCGAAGTCGCTGGCTGATGTCAGTTGTGCTGGCAGTTCGGCTTCAGGTCGTACCATTGCTCACTCTTTGGGGGGCTCAACTTGCCAACAATAAACCACCGCGTGTTGTCCCGGAACCGATCATATCCATTCTCCAGCACCCAACATCCCACGGTGTCGTCACCGCATCGTCGTCACCGCATCGTCTATTTTTCACGGTCCAAGGCAAGTCCACCTTGCTGAACTTGTTGGCCAAGAAGGAGGAGCCCTGTGTGGGAGACGTGGTGCCTTGGCAGATTGGCTCCAAACCGGGGTCACAGAAACCTGGTAGCAGCCCGGACCGACGGCTCCCGCAGTGTTTCGTTGAATAGAACCCTGGGAAATCATAGGAAAACACGGTCCACCTTGTTGCAGGGTGAGATGCGACCAACCCGGCTGTGGGTAGGCAGAGGCAGAGGTGCTCCATGTTGACGTGCATGTGTGCCTGCAATTGGCTTCGATCCATGTGAATCCATGTCATGTTTACAAGAACAAAGTCCTGCTACACCGGAAACTGCCTCGGTACCACTGATCCTTGCAGATTTACGCTTTCAATGCTTGGTATTGATTCCTGACATGCGATTCTGAAGTGTCAGCACTGGTTAGTTTTCAAGGGCCTGTCGTGTCGTTTTCAAAGGAATCAAATTCTGCCAAGATTTCAGCCAGGTCACCTCTAAAGGCCCTCTGGGTTTCTATATATCGTCATTTCCTTTTAAACAGAGGGGAAGCCCCTGGCCTGGCCTCATCGGCGTTTCAGAAACCCCAACCAGGTGCATTCCCGGAATCTCACCGTCTGCCGCTACTCCCAACACTTCGACGAGATCGCTGGGAGCCTTGGATTCGGAACCAGTCTGAGGAGGCGGTCGATGTCTTTCTCGTGAAACTGGGTGAAAGAAAGAAGTGCACAGGCAAGTCTTGCGAAAAAAATTGGGTATATTATGAATGGTATGGTGGTATAGTATAGCCTTTGCACAGCATTGCAGTATAGTATGAAGTATGCAAAGGCAAGTTGTTTTTCCATTGCACTGTGCATTGCACATCATGCACAAGTCAGACTTCGCCCAAACAACCGCCGCCCAAAACAACCGCCTTAACGGCCCCCAGCGGCGGCGCAAATCGAGGCTCCGGCCCTCGGCTTGTCCGCGGTGGAGTTCCTGACCTCTCAGGTCCGATCGCACGCTCCGTGGGGCTTGCGCGGGGCGTAGTCTGCAGGGCTCTCCGTGGTCTTGGCAAGATGTTTGGGGATGTCGGCAGTCTGCACTTGGTAGTGAGGTTCCCGGAGGTTCCTATGGTTTAAGGTTCAATATTTGCTCACCAAATGTCACCAAGGGCCTTTGATTGGGCCCATGGTGAACACTTTGCATCCTCGAAGGGCTGAGTCTTATACGAAGAAGAGGACTTAAATGAATAGATGAATATATATATATATAGATGCGAATATCATCGAATATCAATCTCATCAAACTTCAGGACCTGCATGGACCTGCCCAATGTTCTTTTTTCGGATTTGATGCACCCTCTATCTTTGCCCCAAAGAGACAGGCGAAGCATGCCAGTGTGTGTATTGTTTACATATGTTTACATATACAAGATCATTTGGTGTTGTCATTATGTCTATGTGTGTCAGTGCTACTGGCAGGACCACTGGCTCAAGCGGCAGGGTGTATGGTGCTTATGTTATTTGGTGTGGTCATTGTATATTGTCACTCATCGATCATTGTTTTTTGCCTTTTGTCGGAAAGGTTGCCGTGTTTTCTTTCTTGATGTTTGGTGTTCTGATTGTGTGCTGTCAGTGTCGTCGTTTGTTGGTTCTTCTCTTGTCATTGGACTGGCACCATACAGTGGGTTGTCTCAAATTGTTCTTCATGCCCCTGAGCCAGCGCGGCATTTTCCACCCTGTGCATCCACCGCTGGCGCATCACAGCTAGCTGGCGCGCTCACGCGATTTTCAGCTAAAGCTAATAGCTATGGCCCAATCCTGTCGGGGGGGGGGGGACAGTACCCTAACGGCCCTAACGGCCCTAACGGCCCTAACGGCTCCTGGCCTACCTCCGTTTCGGTTAGTGGGGTCGAACCGAACCCACCGAGCACCTGGGTACCGCTTGCAGGAGCTGCGGCGCTTCGGTGCCGGCACCGAAAGCCTTGAGCAGCAAGCTCGGCGGAAAGACAGTCTTGCAAAGCCATAGTACTCTTAGAAAACGGATGGAAGCACTCAAGCACTCAAACTGATTTATGTTTGGTTGAGCATGAACATTCAGGAAACAAGAGATTGAATAGGCATGACAGCAGGTGACCAGATTGGTTTTGTTCTTTCCTTGGTTTATACCAGTTGCAGGCAAATTGTCCCACAAGTGGTCTTGTGCGGAAAAGGAAAAGGGTAAGGCCAAGTTTATCCAAGTTTGTTTATTCGACCCAAGCATCACAAGTAATTGCTTTCTCAAAGCATCAAGTGAGGTCCAGAGTGAAACGAAACTTGCACAGAATGTCACTATATGTCACTTGCCGAAAGCCAAAACCCAGCAACTTGTTTGGGCCACTCCTTTGATTTAGGTACTTTGCCAAGCTGGACAGAAAAAGTGCGACCCTGGCCCATGTCTCCACCATCCGAACTTTAGCACCTTAAGGATCCAGCTATGGCGCCGAGCTATGGCGCCATGGCCAATGCTTCAAGCAGCATCAACATGGCCAATTCGGGGTTCGGAGAGTCATTGATCAATAGCCTGTGCCATCCTGTGCCATCCGACGGTCCCTTGCGTCCCTTGCCGACCAAAACCTGGCTGTGGTTGGAAACCCGAGGTGTTCCAAAAAGAATCAAAGTCATTGAACTTCAGCCGAGCATCTAAGAATTTCAGGCGGGGTGGGTGGAAATGCAGGTCATCCCCCGCACAAAAAAAGGAAACTTACAGAACGGAGCGCCTTGGGAGTGCACCTTTTGCTGATGTTGGCTGATATGTTGCTTTGCTGCTGCTGCTGCTGCTGCTGCTTTTGTGTAGGTTTTGCTTTGTGTGTAGCCAAGACTGTCCACACCCAAACAACTTAATACATACAAATAGAATAAATTAGACCAAAAACAATTCCAAAGATTCAATCCAGCAAATTAACTAGAAGACATCCAAACCTCAGAAGCCCTGAATGGTTGTGTCGTGTTGTTTTGTGTTCGAGTTTGAGATGTTTTGGACCGCCTTGGCTTCTTGCAAGGACCCCCCCATGCAAAAGCAGAAACACAAAAGCTCTGGTAAGGCGTTGGTGTAGGTCGCTGCTAAACTAGATGATATTCTAGACCCCTACTAAACTAGATGGTAAAGTAGATCTCTGGCAAACCAAATTGTGAAGAGTTTTGATAAAGCAGATGCTAAAGTAGATCTCCGCCACACGTAAACTATAAACGACTGGTAAACTAGATCCCTGGTAAACTGGAGCTCTAGCAAAATTAGGTCTCTTTATCATCGTGATCTGCGGTGAATTACTAGATCTCGAAGGTAAGGTAGTAAGCCTGATTGTAAACTACGTAGAGCCCTTGCAAACAGGACGCTGGTAAGCCAGATCCCTAGCAGGCTTGATCTCTGGCAAACTGACTTGTGGTCTTCTCTGGTGAACTATATGGATCTGGTGAACTAGATGCTATACAGAGGTCTCTAGTGAAGTGGAGCAATACTAGACTAGTTCAGATGGTAAACTGTAAACTAGATCTCTGAACAACTAGATCTCTGGTACAGTGGGCGGCTGCTAGACCCCTTCAAACCTAGATTGTAGGCCATAACGTGGTGAACTAGATCTCTGGTCAAGTAAAGCTCTGCCGAAGTAGGTCCTTGCGAACTAATAGTAAACCAGGCCCCTGTTGGCAAGCTAGACCCCTGGTGAACTAGACCTCCGTGGGTAAGCTGGATCACTGGTAAAAAATTAGATGGTAAGCTAGATCTATGGTCAGCGTGGCAAACTAGATGGTAAGCTAGGCCTTTGGAACACTAAGTAGGTCTCTGGTAAAGTAGATGTTTGGTTAACGCAGCGTTTCTACGGCGTTTTATTTGAAGCAGATCCCTGTGAAGTAGGTCTTTGCTAAACTAGACCGTTGGCAAGCTGGTGGATGGTGAAGTAGATCTCGAGTAAAGTAAAGCAGGCCCCTGGTAGTATAGCTAGCCAGGATGTGAAACACTTTAAGCTTTGGGCTTTGGGCACAGCACATATTGGCAGAGACAGTGTGCAAAAAGTGCGGCGTGGACTCAAACAATTGCGGGTTAACATAGGCTCAAAAAAGGGATGCGGTATTTATACAGGGATTTCCTACAAAGTTCTGTGTTGTGGTGGAAGCGGATGCCTTCAAAAAATACATGTTGGAACATGCAAGAATGATTTTGTGTTTATTTAGAAAACCATGAAAACCCGACGTTTGTGACATGTGATGCCTCAACTTCCGTCCCATAGTTTTCTGTTCTTCCAAACCAATACACTGGTGCCCTTGCTTGGCGCGCAACACCCTTGGCATATTGCTGCATCCTGTGACGAGAGTAACTTTATTTAATGCTGGGTGCAGTTCGACTGGCTTCAAAGCTTGGTGGCAGCGTAGTAAGCGCCTTACCCCAGGTTCAACCACCCATATGAAGGGCTGTTCCTGCCCTGACCCTGCCGCCACTGAGGCTCGCGCACAAGTGCCTGGGCCAATTCGGGCTGTCGGCGGCTGAGTTGCGCAGCGCGTCGAAAATCTCACTGCGTAGGTGAGGCTCGGGTCTCGTTGCAGGTGCATGGAAGCCATGCATTGCAAAGTTGGGAGCGTGCTTTTGCCTTCTTGAGTCACTCTTGAGTCCTAGCCATGTTGCGCTTGATCTTGGGGCCCTTGATGTTGAAGGACCGGCCATGTGACTAGCATCCCAGCCCAGGCCCTCGAACGCCCACAAGCGCCCCATGCAGCAACTTTCAGGTGGTCAGAAGGCACTGGGGTGGCCGGCTGAATGCTGGAGCTGCGCAGGGGAGATCAGAGCCTAATGGCCTCTTTTCACGGTGCATCGTTGAGACGCAGCTGGTCCTCGGAATAACTTCGTCGCGATCATCACCTCTCAACAAATTCTTCTGGTCTCTTAAGAGCTTGTGGCAGTTGGGTGGCATAATATATAGCCATATATAATAAAAATAACCATATATATCCGTGTTCCCGGCAAGAACAACAAGAGCGCAGAGCCTCTGAACATGTGAAGGTTTCTTGTGCAAACAATCAAGGACTGGCCCGATGGTATCAGTGTTTCAAGTTATATGTTTCCCAAGTACGTTAAACGGTTGGTTTGATTGCCCCCACCCAATTATGTCCAGCCACCTGATGCCTCAGGCTCGCGTGTGCTTTGCCAGCATCACCTGCAGGTGAGCGGACAAATCGGAGCCAAGGTGCAACGAAATCGTCCAAACCCGATCAGTGGCCTTCCAATGTGCATGTGCATCAAAACAGGTTTCAATAGACCTCGCAACCGAGGGTTTTGGAAAATTTTTACAATTAGTCATGGCCGCTAGCAGGTGGGGGTTGAAGTTGAGGTTTCGCTATTTTGACACAACATGTGCAATCCCCAAGTGATCAAACAAGAGGATCGGGGTAGTTCACTTGGTGGAGCTTCTGCACCGCACAAGCACAGTTCAACACGCTTGAAGTGCACGATTCCTTCATCAGAGGAAAGTAAACAGGGTCGTTTCTATCCCCGATGTAATATGACATATCAAGTTTCTGGTGGTCTTGCAGCTGCTTCGCATGCGGCGAACACATGTCCTGAACATCCTGGTGGTTGGTTGGTTTCTGGTTTCAGAATTCAGGGACCTGTCGGGAGAGAACTCGGTTCGGAAGAAGAGACACGTCGCGGTTTCGGCAGGAAACCTGAGATCTTGATTCTGGACGAGCCGTGGGGAAGCTCAAGAGATCTCAGTATGAGTGGCACCATCCGTTGCGGCTCTGATCGGGGTGAGTGGAATGAACACATTGGGATCGTTAAATGTATTAGACACATTGGAAGATGTTAGACTACATGTGATCATGGACAGAACATATAATATATATGTTTTACTGTTTTACCCATGGTTTTCATATTGGTTTGTTTGCAATGTTTTCTTTGAAATCGAACCTTGCGACACTGACACTCCAGCAAGTTGCGTCGTCAGTTGCGTGTTTTTCAAGAACCGTCCACCTTTAAAAAGTCCTTTGAGCTGTTCCCACCAACTTCAGAAGAAACACAAACTTGTAACACCCACCAGGTCAAACTGCAAATCTGGTGAAACCACTCATGGAATGCTATCGTGAACGTCCATTTTCTCAGGTATGTAGACCCGCAAGTGAGTTCAGTGGATGAAGACAGTAAGCGCAACTTTGGTGAGCAAAACCTGGGTTACGGCTAACCTCATCGTACGTAGTGTGAACTTGCATGATCAAGTCCGTTGAACAATGAGGTCTTTGACCCGTATGGATGAGTTCCTTAAAGCCCCATGTTCCCACACTGGCGTGGCGCATGGCAACCTTCCTTCATGCAAACCCAGTACCTCCCAGCTCAAGACGTCGGAGACGTTGATGCCAGTAGCTCCCCGCTACAACGCATCCTTAGAGGATCAGCCAAACAGAAATTCCACTCCCTGAAATAATGGTGGAAGGTGACAAAATCAGGCCCTTGGAAGACCACTTTCCTCTACAAAGAGGTTGTTTTCCACCTCCAAGACCATTTCAGGAGTAATATCACCCAACTACCCCTTGAAAAGCCCGCGCGCAAACGACTTTGTCTCCAATCTCCTCGAGCCACCTTTCGTGCGAGGACCAACCATTTGGACATCGAGAGTGTTGAAGCGCTCATTGACGCGTTAAAGAGGCGCCGTCCTATGTGGAACCCAGACATGACTAATGGGACTGGCATAGGACTGCCGAGAAACGGCCAGGGGCGGTGCCAGAAAGGTCAATTGATCGGCAGTCCTCTGCCAGTCCCATTAATTGGTCGTGTTTGGGGAAGGTTCAAACCGTGGTCCACACCCGTTTTGGGGTTTCCCCTTTGGTGTCTCCTGGCCCGGCCCATCGATTGGAACTCAGGTGACCGGTGGTCTGACCCTCCTGGCACCCACCCCTGGCCCATCTTCGATACGGAGGTAGGCCAGGATCTACAACAAATGTAGATAGATAGATATATATATATATATAATATATATATATTTATATTTAAAGGCTTACGCCTAGCAGCCGGGCGCCGGCCCACTAGGGTCTGTGTAGGGCTGGGTCGGGTGCACGTTAAGCTATCGGGGGCGTACTGGGCCCTAAGTTGGGCCAAGTTGGGCCCATGTGGTCTATGTCGGGCACATCTTGAGGTGATGTTGAGCCTATGTTGGGCCTATGTTGGCGTATGTTTGCTTCATGTTGGCTTCATGTTGGCCTATGTTGGCCCTATGTTGAGCCATCTTGGAGGCTATGTTGGGCATATGTTGGGGATATGTTGGCTATCTTCGGCCTATGTTGAGGATATGTTAGGCAATTTAAGTCGTCTGGAGGGCCTCTACCCACAAAATGCCGATTATGCCTGTCCACCCAGCGTGCATTACCGACACAACCTTAGAAAAACACAGCGTTTTTGCATTTCTCCCTCTTCGCCGCGTCGCACTTCGATATGCGCAAGAAACCCTGTAAAACACAGTGTTTTTTAGACCTCACACACACACACACACGAAACACTGTAAATTACAGGGGCATCAATGACCCGGTGATCCGCCCGTTTTCATGACGAGGGTCGGCGGCAGGGCGTATATCCGGGCCGTGTCCCTCCGGAGTCCCTCCGGAGGAGTTCCCCTTCTGCGAAGCAGAAAGCAAATCCGCCCCCCCAGAAAACTCAGCGTTTTTGACGTGTTTTTTCC